CCCCAAAACCCCAAAACCCCAAAACCCCTGCTTATTCCAAGTAATGGATATTAAAACTGAATATATATGCTTTCCTGATCCCTGCTCGCATTGAAGTTCAGCTTTAAATCTAGCCAATAAGCCTATATACCAAAAATAAGACTGGGGAGAAAATCCTCTAGAACATATTTAGATACCAGATTTATTCTTAATGCTGGAGCAATGGAAGCCCTCGGCTGTTGTACCCTTCCTCTCAGAATGTGGCTAACCACAAGTTTATGGCAGGCCAAAGCAAATATTGAAGCAAACTACTTTAGCAAATAATAAGCCATTGTGCCTACTCACAGAGTTGCTTTCTTAAAGCCTGAGGTCCTTTCAAATGAAAATGATATAATTTCTTATCACCCAAGGAATCTAAGATATATCCAAAGATATGCATTTTGTTGTAAATATTGATTGGTCCTTAAAAGGGTTTACAGCGAATGACCACTAAAAATTATATGAATAAAGCTTATTGGGAAGCCTAACTTTGGAGATTCAAGTGGAGTTGAGTTAGATATTTTCATGGCTTACTCCTTTAAGAAGCTGACCTTGATCACTGCTTAAGGGTACAGTTCCTTCAAGAAAGATTCTAGAGACCCCTGCTTGCCTATAAAGCTGTGTGATAGCATATGTAAAGCTGATGAGGAGTAATTTAAAAATAGAAATCAGTGTATAAGATATGATGAAATCTTCAGTCTTACCTTGGAAATCACAGTTTGAGATTTTCAACTCCTGTAATAAGGCTCACTCGATGTCATTAGCTAAACAAGGAGACCATTGAAGATTAACATCCCCAACAATCTTGCATCGGCTGAAGTAAAGGCTCCTGACTGAACTTCAAGATTTCAGGATTCGTTTGAACAGAGCCATGCTGAGTGTTCAATCTATAATACTGAGCGAATCTGATTTGTGAATTTTACTAATGATCTGACGAAATCTCCAGCCAAGCATTGCTTTTGATTGTGAACTTACAGAGGTTTTTCCCTAAATTAGGCTCGATTCACTAAATAATTTCATGCTTTAATCATTTAATTTGGCCTGTTTCGGCTTGCTTATCCCTCAATATCATAATCCTTCTGAGTTTGTAATTGATAGAACTGAGGTATCATGAACCAGAAGAGGATTCTAAGTATGCCGTTATGCTTAATTTTCAAATAAATCTCATATTTAGCTGTTTAAGTATCAACATGATGAAGGTTGAGGCCATTATAAGCTCCGTATTGGTTGTTTATCTCATAGCAAGTTTCGAACAGAATCCGATCAAAGGCTTCTTCGCTCTTTAAAATGAACCTTTCAGTTTCTCCAACATTTGTAGCAGAACTCATAGCTTCTTTCCAATTGTGAAGGTTATCTGCCATTTCTTGGCCATAAACATTCATAAACTCAATGTAAGCATGAACTTTACAGTGTTTAACTCCATACGAGACTAATTGACCTCATTTGCAAAACCCAAGGGGAGTCATAGTGGATTTAATACTTAATTATGGGGTTTTGGGGTTTTGGGGTTTTGGGG